AATAAGTTACTGAATGATTGTGAAATTCAATTGTTTTAGTAAATATTAAATCAGGTGCTTATTCTACATTATTAACTTTTCATTACTATCTATTTGTTGCTATCAGATACCCAAGTTTAGTGTTTTGTTAATTCATCAGTGTTGATATTGGTTTTGACCTCTCCATGGAAGAATTTGAAGAAATATTTCTTCAATGGGAACGTTTTTGATTAGAAAAATCCATAGCCAACTATTAAAATTCAATATTTTAGTGATTTTGAGCAATTTTGAAAATTTTATATTTATTCATTGAATATCATTTTGAAGGCAAAAAATAAGGAATTTGATGAGCTTATGAAATACAGGGTGTTCCATTTGAAAAATCATAAGTTTGAGTCGTATCTCCGAAACCATACCGCGAAAAAAAATTTATTAGGTGCGCCACTGGATTCTGCGTAGATTTCTCTATGCGATAAGATTTTGATTTGACATTTTTGTTGAGAAACTTCGTGGATATAGAGGGGGTCCAAAAAGTATAAATTTTCAAAATTGCCCATAAACGGAAACAGTCTTGCAAAATCTGATTAAGCCATCTTGAGTTTCACAAAAAAGTGGCAAAGGACCGCGAAAACCGCTAGGTTCTATCTCCAAAGATAACTGAGATATCACGGAAAAGCATCGAAAACTGGACACACTGTACACCTCAATCGAGACGAGCGTAGAAAGATGGGGAGAAGCGCCACCTGGTGGCAAAAATGCAACTAGATAATTATTCAACAAAATATCTGTTTTTTATGAAGTATCTGTGGTTCTGTGGGTTCTGTTCAACAAAATAATCTGTTTGAAATAACAACATACAGAGTGACCCATTTGAAAGCGGGCCACCCCTGTATCTCACGTAATGTAAGGATCATGACATTTGCTGGAGTGAGATATATACCAAAAATGCACTCTATAACCAAGTGGGGTCATCTTCAGTGATATACACTGCTCGCCAACAGCCATGGAACCACCCCAATTTCCTGAAAATGATATTAGGAGTCAAAATAGGTTGAAAATCACATCGGATTCGGAATCAGGACGCCCAATTCACTAACTATTCATATTTTTCCTTGAAAATTTTCAGTTCTGAAACATTAAATTTTGTCGCACTTTTCATAGAAGCACCCCCGTATCTCACGTTATTATTGAGATAGGGTTCTAAAATTTGCAGGAGGAACGGAAAGTCCAAAGATAAAATCAATTACGAGAGATACGGGGGTGCTTTCGTGAAAAGTGCGACAAAATTAAATTTTTCAGAACTGAAAATTTTCAAAGAAAAATATGAAGAGTGCGTCCTGATTCCGAATCCGAAGTGATTTTCAACCTATTTTGACTCCTAATATCATTTTCCGGAAATTGGGGTGGTTCCATGGCTGTTGGCGAGCAGTGTATATCACTGAAGATGACCCCACTTGGTCATAGAGTGCATTTTTTGGTATATCTCTCGCTCCAGCAAATTTCATGATCCTTACCCAACGATTACGTGAGATACAGGGGTGGCCCGCTTTCAAATGGGTCACTCTGTATATTTCTTAATAATGATGTGTTGAATTAACAAAATATAATGTTGTCATAATCAATTCAATTCTGTCGTATAGAAAAAAACCTTTGATTGGTTGCATAATGAAATGATTGTTGAATCAACAAAATATGATGTTGTACTCAGTTAAATCTGTGTCAAAATTAATTTAATTTTATTGTCAAAATAGATCGACAAGATGCATATATGATTGATCGAGGGGTAAACCGCTGACCTACAGGTGTACACTACTCTCTTAAAATCGTATACTTCCTCATACTTCCTCTACTTCCTTGATACTTCCCGTACTTCCTCGATACTTCCCGTACTTCCTTGATACTTTCCGTACTTCCTTGATACTTCCCTTACTTCCTTGATACTTCCAATACTTTCTCTTGATTCCTAATATAATTCCAGAGATCCTAAGTACACCATTTAAACCATTTAAATGATTGGTCTTTGCGTGATTGTGCCTTCCACAAGGAAATTTGAACAGAGGTGACCTCAGAATTGCTACAGCGTAGAACTTTGGGTGGAAACAATTTTATTATTATCCCAATAATTTTACGCATTGCTGCCAGGGTGATCTGAATTCTGAATCTTGAACCACCCTGTAAATGGTTCAATTAAATGTCAGTAGATAATGAATCAAAAGTTAAGATAGGGACATAGTAGCCGTTTTGACTGATAATGAATAGTTTCGACACAAAAATATCATTAAGTTGAAAAAATCTCGATTTTGAACACCCTATATCTCTGTAATCATTCCCACTAGACACCAAGTCTGATACATTGATGATATCAGCTCTTCAGAAAGAATCTAAAATACAATGAAATACAGGGTGTTCCATTTGAAAAAATCGATTAGTACTCTGTAGATCGTTTATTCCGAGCACCCTGTATTTTCTGATGCAACGGAAGGAAAATTGCTGAAAAATTATTATTTCTCAAATTTTCAAATCGGTTCAAAAATAAGTGAGCTAGAGGGGGGGACATTCATGGTGAATCACCCTATATCAAGAGACATATTTCATCTGAGATTAATATTAATGTGATAAATACCTTGTAATACCTTGTATACTAGTAGAGTCTTAAATATTCATACATCGAGATATACATGAAACAGTAGATAGATTTTCGCGTACTTGGGTACAGTCAGTAATCAAGTAAATTATATCGAATGGAATATGACATTGAGTAAAATAGAATTTGAAAGAAGACCGTGACTCAACAATGATAAAATAACTTCAGCTACATATTCACTATTCAGCACCATAATTTCAATATACTGTGAAGTTCTAGTAATTCGTATTTTCAACCGAAATACTTGCCCCTACACCCCTGATATTTCCTCTGCTTTTGCTCAATCCGTATCAAAAATTCAACTGCTATAAACACAGGACACTGCAAGTTGAATATCAAACGAATTTGTAACTTCCAATGCCGTAACAAGAATCAAAAATACGTATAATGATTCACCATGCACATATTTCATGTTTGATTCGATATTGAATAGTCAATTAACTCAGCAATATAGTGATATAGGTACTGAATGTGTAAAAGCAATTAGGCACAAACTGACTTGGAAATATTGTATAAAACCGAGGAGTTCACCGCGGTGGAATTCTGGTGTACAAACAACTGGAATTCCTTGGAATTCCTTGGGTGAAGTGCGGTATATTGCTGGTCTACAAACAACTGGAATTCCTTGGATTTCCTTGGACTTCCTTGGAATTCTTTGGATTTCCTTGGAATTTATTGGATTTTCTTGTCATTTTTTGGGTGAAGTGCGGTATAATTCTGGCGTACAAACAACTGGAATTCCTTGAAATTCTTTGGACAGTAATGTGTTTTTTTTAGGATCTGCCGGAAATGTTCTGTATATTTGCTTCCGCACGGCTCGCTCGCAATATTTGATGCGTCATGTCTCTAGACCAGTGGTTCTTAACCTTTTAGTGCTGAGGGACCATTTGACAATATTCAAAATTGCCATGGACCACTGACTGTTTGGAGGTGAACACATGGAATGAAAATTAATGGATCATTGTTCTATCTATGAATACAAAATGCATCTGTTCACAATCAACATTATTTGAATCTTTAGGCGAAAATTCAACATAACAGAGACAGAATATATGTTTTTTATATTTTGTTATACTCCTCAATACTTGGTTCAGTCCTATCAAAACGCATATGTCGGCAGTAGCATCCAACCGATTTCGGTGCTTGTTTTAATGATTAGAAGTGCCTAATAAAACCCCTGCTCGCATAGATATGTCGATGAAAACTAAGGTAGGTATCGAATTGCAATTTCCCAAATATATGCAAAACAAATTTCTTTTTGGCTCTAGAAATCATCAAAATCAATTCCTGCTTCGAATGCATTTTTCAAGTTACTATCGGTTTGCATTTCAATCACTTCTTCTTCAATTCTATCAGGCGCTCAAAAACATGGACAATTTCCGATTACCTTTGTTATCGCAGTCAGGAAAATAGCGATCGCATTCACTCTTCAAATTTGCCTCTCTTGATCTCAGCACACTCTCCTTCAATAATTTAATTCAGCTTATCACACGTAGAAAAAAAATCTTTTTCGACTGTCATGATCCATAGTTCGATTTCAGCGATAAATGCAGCAATTTTATCTTCACATGCAAATATACTGCACATGTCATGCAACTTCAAAATTTCTGACCCTTGCAGTTGCAGATTCAATTTATAGAGTTGTTCGATCTACCAATTAAGAGAGTCGTATTTCAAATTGATAATCCGTCCGCTTGTCACTAATTCAATATTTTTCCGATGGCTTCGCGGACCCCTTTGGGTGCCTTCTGGGTCCACGGACCACCGGTTAAGAACCACTGCTCTAGACGGTAATAAAACATAACGCATCAATCGTCACCAACGCGCAGGACTCGCAACAGGAACACCACCGTGAGAATTTCAAGTACTATGAACTCCCTCGTACCTCCCGTACTTCATTTCACTTCCTCGTACTTCCTTCTACTTCCTCGTACTTTTTCGAACTTCCTCATACTTCCTTGTACTTCCTAATGATTCCTCATACTTCCCGTACTTCCCTTATTGTACTTCCTCATGCTGTACACCATACTTCCTCAGCGGTTTACCCCTCGTGATTGATAGAATAATGAGATGATGGTTGGATCAACAAATTTTATTTTATGTCAACCATAAATGTTGTTGAATGAAATAAAACTTTCGTTCGAGTGAGCAAATATATCAATCAAATCATTTTGTCTTTTTGAATAAGTCGCTTATTCGGATAGATCATATATTTTGTTGATTTCTCAAAATTGTGTTTAATTCACCAAAACAAAAATTACCAAAATTGTTTTGTTTGTATAATAAAACTTTTTTTTTTCGTGTACAATTTCAAATGATTCAGTATTATTTAGTACTTTCTCCGTTTATTCACGTTCTCGACTAGGTATATATGATTGTAAACCCGTCGGGAATAAATCGAACCGACGTCTCTGTCTTTCTTAGATAGAAATATGATAAACAGCACAGAAGAAAACAAAAACCAAAGGTCATAAAAATCTCTTCTGTGTGGCTTATTGATGTTGATTATAGTATAGTTCCGGCTGTATATTTGTATACGATTGAATATTGATGATTTTGGATGATTATTGATTTCTGGTAAGTACCTCCTTATACCTGAAAGTATACTCTCTTATATTATTTTGAATCTGTGATTTTCTATGAATGGTTAAAGAACAGGTTCATCATATCATAAGCTAACTATCCTCCAAGTAGGAAAACTTTGGTTAAATCATTGAATCCATCGAAGCTGCTTCTCAAAACTCGATTTTTCACACCTTAGCAGCTTCTTTATCATCTACAAAGCACATAATATCTTGATCGTCTTCAGAATACACTGATATTCCCTGCACATTCAAACTGAACAAATTGAATTCATATACAATGTTACAATAATGATGATAACCGGAAATCAAATATAACTTTCAATTTTGTAAATCAAATGCATCATCATGGACTCGTAATCATACAAACATATCCCAACAGCACCTTAGAGCCGGTGATAAACCAACATCGGTCTTAAGCAATAGTTCCTTGATGTGTGATATCACATATTATGTCATAAAAAAAAGACATTTTTTGAATTGACTCGGCCGTTACTTGATGGAAATCCATGGCAAATGTGAAAACATCACAAACGCTAAGATTTCCACAAAATTCTTAAACACACAACATGTTTCGCTAACAAATTAGCTTCGTCAGGTGATATTGTCTAAAAAAAAAATTGGTACTCTGGTACAATGAACTAAACCAACGTTGGCTTGCTAAACTTTTATATATCCTACTTTCCCAACTTGAAGGATTATTTACCTGTGGACAGGATCGATAAACCTCCATTTTCGGAAATGAGGCACAATATCTACATTATATATTACGGTATACCGGATTAACTTGAAAGGGTTGATAGCAAATAAATATTATTACCTACTAAGAAAATAAATTCAACAGTGGTGAACTATTGAGGTATATTTGATCGTTAAGTAAAATGTCAAAATTTTTGAGTTTGTTGATTTCTAATGATTCGAAATGATTGAGTTTCATTCCTTTATTTTCTACATGTAGAATCTCGAAATTATCATCAAAACTATGGTTTCCTTCTAATATATGGTTGGCGTATGTTGAATTTGTTTTCTTTTTCAAAAAATTCATCTCATGTTCATGAATGCGCTGACTAAACGTACGACCTGTCTGACCGATATATACCTTAGGACAAGATCCACAGTTGAGTTTGTATACCCCTGATGATTTCTCGAATTCAGGAGTTTTGTCTTTATTATTTTTGATAAACCTTCCCAACGTGTTATTTGTTCTATACGCTACTCTCAAGTCCTGTTTATGTAGAAATGTAGTTAATTTTTCAGTTGATGATCCTAAATAGGTAAAAGTTCTATAATCTTGATAATATTTCTTGATGGTAGGATAAGTGTATCAGATCAACGTTGTTAAATACTTAATTTCACGTCGATAATTTTCAGATCTCAAAATAATGTAATATCTTCTCAATATTGATTTGTCCTTTCTTCTGTCACAGAAAAAATTGTGGAGCTGAAATCTGATACTTTTTTCCCTTGTATAATAAATAACTATTTCTATGTTGAAAACCTGAGCAGATTCGTTCCGAAACGTCTAAAGATAAGTGAGAATTCGATATTTTTTCTATATACCTTTATTTCGTATTAACGGTTTTTCCGTTGGAAAGAATAATTTTTCCGCGGAAAAAAGGAGCCTATGTTGAATCGTTCCAGTAGTTCAGTAGCCTATTCAATACAAACAAACACATCTTTCCTCTTTATAATATTAATATAGCTGTGTATATACTTCGAGAAATGTTCCTTATACATCTCTGCTATAATTCCATCACTATAGCAATACCAGTCAGACAAACAGGACTGGCCCAGTCAGCACATGATTCTTCCATTGTCAACCTTGAAATATGTCGAGCAACACTCTACCAAAATTCTTTCGTCTATAGAACGGCAAAGCTTTGGAATTCTTTGCCAATAGGAGTATTCCCAAGAACTTATATAACCTCCATAGGTTCAAGTAAAAATTCAATACTTCCTCCCCTCCCTATATCCTCTCTAGGTATGCACGATGTTCTTCGAACATTATGGAACTTTCCTTTATGCTCTCCAAGAGATAAAAACAATTCTATCTAGCTTATTGAAATATTCAAGAAGAATATCAAGAACAAGCACATGATAAAACTTAAAAATGAGCTGCCATGAACAATCATCATACTTTCTACTGATTTGATTTGATTATCCGTCAGATATATAGTCAGATGTTTTAAATAAGCTGTTATCATTCAGATATAACCCATAGTTTCAAAAATATACAATACTCATAGAATATCTTGAGTATTAGCCTCGAATTTTGATAATTTGAATCGTTTCAATTCATTTCCTATTGATCCGTCTTGTAAATGTGTAGCAATATTTTTACTATATTTCCATAGTAACCCTGCTGCTGTCAGAGTGTTTCGTCACCCACTAGTTGAAATTTCTCAAACATTCATTGTTTACCAATATTGAGCACTATTTATTGACTATTGAAGCTGTATAAAAAAAACGCGAGTGCGGAATGTTTCATAATTATATTCTTGTCACCGATTTACAATAACAAAACTAAGTATACGAAAATGTAGGGTCCAATTTATTTCCCAACCAGAATAGGTATATAATCTTCCGTAGTTTTGATATCCTGGATTATTATTCGCCAATGCAAATTTGTAAACACCTACAGGTAGTTGCCACCTGGAAGTATCTATTCGTACGCAGTGCTTACGAATAGGTATAAATAGCGATAAGGCACTTTATCCGTACGTTTACGTGCGAAGAACCACCAAGAATGCTATCCGTACGTAAATTAACAACTATATTTGCGTACGGATAGGCTTTCCCATATCTATCCGCACGTATACGTACGGATAGGGTTAGGCATATTTATACGTACGAATAGATATGCAAAAGCCTATCTGTACGTATTCGTACGTATAATATGTCAAAGCCTATCCGTACGTATACGTACGTATAAATATGCCAAAGCCTATCCGTACGTATACATCCGAATGTGTGCATTGCGTGCGGATAGTGTAAAGATATTTTATCCGTTCGCCCACGTGCGAATAATTTCCAAGAATGCTAATTGTACGTAACGGTTTGTAAAATATTAATTACTGTGATCAATCACGTATATTTGATGCATGTAATTATATCAAATTCAAATTTTGAATACCTACAACATAATGATAAACACATGCAATTTGAAAATAAGTTATATCACAATGTGTTAGGCATAGAGGAAAATGTGCTAGAAATATAGGAAGAAGTTCCTACATTTATATAGGAAGAAGTTTCTAATACATTTATTCAGATCAATATGATCGACAAAACAATCGATCAAATTCGAATTGCTATAATGCTTTCATATCTTTACAAGTTTACAAAAACTTCTGATGTAAAAGTGAGATGAAAATTACACCTGATATAAAAGTGAACTATATACCACAGTACATTGCCTAAACAATGTTGAACATAATATGCAATTTCCTGTGAAATCTCACTAAGCATATCGTATCAATTCCTAATACCATTTGAAGAGGGGATACCGTCCAAATTTGCGAGAGTCCGCTTTGCATCTCCTATCTCCTATTTTATTTCATCAGTAATCTGCTGCCCTGCGAGGTACCTGTACGGAATTTTTCCAATTTCGCCTGATTTCTTTCTCGTAACAACAGCTGATCATGAGCCCAACTTTGCAAGACCTTTACGATCTGATCATATCTGGTAATACTGAACTGAAAGAAGAAATTGTCGAATTGAAAAACTCTCTTGGCACTGAGATTGCAATCCTGAAGAACAAAAATGAGGAACTTCTGAAAGAAAACGAATCTTTGAAGCTTCGTATTCTAGATATCGAACGAAAATCAAAAAAATTCAACTTTATCGTGTATGGTCTCAACTGTGTGGAAGACAACACCGATAGTGAACTTCTGAAAATCATAAATGATCTTCTAAAAATCAAATGCAACCATAGCGATTTTCGCGACATATTCAGAATTGGTGCGGCCGCTGAAGGTTCTTGCCGTCCAGTTGTGGTGGAAGTCATAAATTTGAATTTGAAAAAAACTATTCTGAATAAAGCTCGCAGTACTGCGTCAGAGCTCAAAAACTTGAAAATATTTTTCACTCAAGATTTCGCTAGAGAAGACTATATCAAGAGAAAATTCATGAATCAACAACTCAAGAAAGTGCGAACCTCAAACCCCGGCGCTTTCATAAAGAAGAACGTAAACGTACGAATAGGATTTTAGGATATTATTCGTACGTAAACTTACTAATAGATGCAGCCTTGCCACCTACTTATCAGCTTCACAGCTTTTATAGTCAATAAATAGTGCTGAATATTGGTAAATAATGTATTATAGTGGAATCTGAGCTAGTGTGTGACGAAACACTCTGTCAGCAATGTTAAATTATGAAAATTCATGATATTAAAATATTAAAAATATTGCTACACTTTTACCAGGCAGATCAATGGAGAATATCATAGAAAAATGTATATAATCTTGAAGAATATCCTAGAAAAATGTATATAATCTATCTATCTAAGCGCAGAGCATCAATGTTTCAAATATAAAAAAAATATAGAGGGTGTTCCTTTCAAAAAACATAACTTCAGAATCCCCAATATTTTTAAATAAACCGAGAAAGAATTGATGTTTTGATCATATAGAGAATGCAAATTCTCAATGTATTTCTTTGTGTATGCAATGTATGCGACTTCAACCCGCAACACTCTCCTAATTTGGAACCTTTTCGACCGATATTCAAAAACAAAAATTTCATTAACGAGCTCTATTCGAAAATGTGGACAAATCTGAAATATTCATGTTTTCAAGGCTCACTTTCAATTGTTAAATGAGCCAAAATTTCAAAGACGACTACTAGGCAATTTTTTGTCGAAACAGTGACTAACTCATTTGATTCAGGCATAGTTTGAATACCCACATACGAAATTTGAATGCAAAATCTCATATAGGGTGTTAGTTATTCAATGGCAAATTTTGATATTTCTGATTTTTCTATTCACCCTGT